CCGCCGCCGCCGCCGCCGCCCGCCAGGTGGCGCTCGCGGTAGAAGTGTGCGGCGTCGCCCGAGTAGTGCCGCTCGCGTGGCGCCACCTCGCGATAGGTGTGCGGGTGCGGGTGGATGACGCGGAAGTGGAGTTGGTCGCCGCCGCCTAGGCGCCCGCTGCCGCTATGGTGGCTCCGCCTGCTGGCAGTCTCGTAGCAACATGGCGTCGACACGGAGCGGCAGTGTCGCTTCTTTGGCGGGTCGGGCGACTTGAACGGCGCCACGTAGTGCGACGGTGGCGCCCCCTCGTTCTGCTGCGGTAGTGTGTCCAAGTCGGCGTCGTCGGCGCATGCCGGCTCACCAGGTGGCGTTGGCTCGTCACCCACCATGCACACCGGGTAGAGGAACGGGATACAAGGCCCTGACACTTTCCCTGCAACGTAAAGCACAGAAGTGCACGCGTTAGTGAATGCTGTTGCTTGCCACTACAATACGGTGAGCCAGGGTGGAGAAACACACTCCTCATAGAATTATGGTTCATGTTCAGCATAATGTTGAGATTATGGTAAAAATTATGCTTAGGCGTACTATTAGGGTTAGAGGAATGATAAGATTATGTTTAAGCAAGAATAGGAGAGAAGAGAGAGAGTAACGGTCAAAATAATTGTAAAGGTTATCAATATAGTAATATTCTCATTATAGTGATTATTGTGATTATAGTTAAGGGTGCGGGTTATCATTATAGGATGAGCTTAGGGTTATGGTTAAGATTAGCATAAGGGTTAGGGTTAGGGTTAGATGTACTATAATACTAACACCAAACTAAGTGTAATTCCTTATTGTAACCCCAACTATATGATCACGATTGACGGATTGGTTCTCGTTGGCCACCATATTTGGATAGCTACTACAGACCGCATGCGGTGCAGGCGCAGCATATGGAAACAGGAATGACGACATAAAAATAAACTGCTGTCTGTAGCGAGGTGGTCTTAAGGTCGCACCAAGAAGTCCTATGTCAAAGTGGGAGGCTGAAAATACACACAACACACACGCACACGCACACGCACACGCA